GGCACATTCAAAGTTATAGCCATCGGGGGTGTATTAATATGGAAGGTTAAGAGTAAGGGGAGATTAGCGAACGACAATCTAATGAGCATGCAGCAACTCGAGAGGGAGATGCCGAGCAGTGTTCCTTACTCAGACGGGATTGGCGAAGAAATTGCAGGAAGACCAGTGGAGGAGGCTGGCGTGAGACCGCCACGTGCGGCGGAAAAACCTCCCACAGCGGAGAGGAAAACATTGACCAAGAAGAACAGGCCATAGTAACCACATCTGCACCCACAGACACACGCACACATTACATTTGCATGTAGAACAGAAGAAGATGAAAAGAACATTACATTTGCATGTAGAACAGAAGAAGGTGAAAAAGAACATTACCTTTGCATGTAGAACAGAAGAAGATGAAAAGAACATTATATTTGCATGTAGAACAGAAGAAGATGAAAAAGAACATTACATTTGCATGAAGAACAAGAGAAGATGAAAAAGAACATTACATTTGCATGTAGAACAGAAGAAGATGAAAAGAACATTACATTGCATGTAGAACAAAAGAAGTTAAAAGAGAACATTACACTGCATGTAAGAAAGTAGTATAGAATTGCATGGGACAAATGCATGGTGCATGTTAAATGATGTATTTGGCTTTAGGTGTCATTTACGGGTAAATGACAAATCGGTTAGGGGAGGATTGTGGCACCATGCATCCAGGCGATTTGAAAGATATATTTATAGATATATGATTTGCTTTTTTTACGGTTTATCAACCATTTGAGGATTATTTAAGGCCGAAATGTATTTTAGGTTTTAAGAATAATTCTTTCTTTTTTTTTACAAGAGGATTGAACCGCCATGCATTCAGGCGATTTGCAAGAAAGAAAGAGAAAACGAAGAAAAGGAAAAGGAAAAAGTAATACGAGACGGGTCATAGGCGAACACACACACACACACACACACACACACACACACACACGGCTTAAGAGACGGGAATAAGAAAGAAAAGGGTTATTTTTGATAGGTATCAAATGTCTAAAAAAGTTTCATTTCAATGAGATTGAGTGGGCGAGGAGGTGTTGGTACGAGAAAATATCTAGGCCACCTGCGAACAAGTGTTGACCGATTTCCGCTTATCCGTGAAAAATGGAATTGTGTTATCAAGAGATGTCACGCTTGGAGCAGCGACACCCGGAAGGAGCAGCGAGGAGCGAACAGCTGGCGCCGCGGCAAAGACGTCACAACTGGCGCCGTGGTGGATCAGGATAGAACGACACAGTTGGCGCTGCGACCGGGGGACGACGTCACAATTGTAAATCTCTGGTGGTACCTAATGTAAACCTTGATTACTTTATTTCATTTTAACTTTTTGGTAAGTCACTATATCTACTGGTTATAAAAGTAGGTACCTCTACAGAAATGTGAAACCTCAGGTAAACAAAACCAAAAATAAAAAATTTGACCACAAATAACAAATTCTGTTGATGTTATGACCATTGTTCATCTGTGAATATTGATCAGCATTCAAAGAGCTTTCTAAAGATATATAATGTGACCTTATTGGGAGATATGAAAATGTTAGCACATAGTTACATATGCCAAAATCCTCAATTTTGAATTTGGCCCAACTCAGTAAAACCCTTGTAGCCCAAGCCACACACAAAAGTCCACCACAAAATTGTTTATATGTCTTGCTAAAAAGCAGACAAATTTGTTGTCAATTTTTTAAAAAAATTATAGATACACTTTTTGAGGAATTAAAGGTCAAAGGATAAGGTCATGGTCAAATTATTTTATTTGATCTTTAAACAAAAACATAAATTGAACACCTTTTAGATCTATCAAAGTACTTTCAAATGATATATAATTTAGCTTTGTTGGTAAAAAAAAAACACTGAGATATTGATATTTAAACTTAGTGACTATTTACCAAAATTCACCTTTTTGACAAAGGTCAAATGGTCATATTTCAGGAACCCTTTGACCCAGAGATGTAAAAAAAGTACCATTCAATTCATATCATGAAGAACTATAAGTGTACCAAATGTGGAAAAATTTGTGTCAGTGATGGTCAGACCCATGTTGATTTGATATAGAATGACTCACATATGCATACATTTGTTTAGCTGTAATTTCTGCAAATCTGCTACCAGGTAACACTTTAGGGATAAGGGAACTACCATGTGTTCTTTAGCTACTGCCAGTCAAGAGGCAATACAGTAATTATATGCTTCCAAAAACTGTCCACATGGCCCAGTGAGCAAAAGCATTGGTTGGATCCAGTGACTTGACCCAAAGAGTTATGTGTTCAGGACCTGGCTACTGCAGTGGTGAACAAAAGTTGGAGAGTTGAGTTAAAGGGAGATAACTGAGACATGCGGAAGAGGCATGGCACATGGAACTATAATAATTTACCTCAATGGACAAAATAAAGGGTTCAGTTCAAAATTCCAATCACCTGAAGAAGGCCAGAGTGTAGAACAGCCGAAACATTGTGAATATGGCAATAAAGATGATGACAGCAGTCTGAACAATGTAAATAATGTAAACAATTACAATGCCTCATCTCAGAAATATAGACAGATATCTTAATTTCAATTATATTTTTTGTTTCTTCTCTTCTCAATGATTTGTTTAATGTCATTTGAATTTCATTAATTTGGACACACAAATATATGTCAGAATTAAACTTAATATTTATAACAGGTTAGATGCTTGCAGGGCTCAGAGATTGTTTTATCATTCTTCTAAGTTAGGTACCTCCACAAGATCGCTAAAAAAAGAGCATAGCATGATGAAAAAGACGCCAAACTTGACGAAAACAAAATTTTATCGTCTATATGTTTGTTATTATTAAGAGGAAAGGTCAAAGTATTTTGGGGGTATTTTTTTCCATTTTTTAATCGTTCCTAGCACGTCCGAAATTTTCGTTAAAAATCTAGCTTTTTTTGAGTAAGCAAAATTGACCATTTTTTTTCATTTTTAAAAAAAATGGAAATCTGACTTTGAAATTTTTTAAATATCAATTATCATTTTTTTCAAAACTTATTTTAAGAAAATCAGAAATTATAATGTTTATTTAAAATATTTTGAACCAAACTTAACTTAGCTTTTGTGCCAAAAAAGATGTAATTTGAAAATAAAACAAAGCAGGTCATAAACTTTCGCGTCTCTTGACATGTGATGAATGATATATTTACGAATTCCATGAGGCTAATTTGTTCTACGGAAGGAGAAAAGTGAAATAATTTACATTTACGTGAACAAATTATTTACCCCGTTATTTTTAACGAAAACTTTCAGCGGTCTAATTTTTTTTTTTTTGTATTTAGCTTTCACCTTTACGTTTATGATTCTTTATGGGAAATATATTCTACAGAAATTAAAATAAAACTGTTAAGAGTGACATTAAATTTCATATTTCTTAAGAAAGGTATCTAATTAATTTATAGGTACCTTTCTTATGAAATTTTATCAGAATTGTACATAAAATACTATAATTTTATGTACATTTATTACATTCTACTGTTATTTGTATTTGCATTCATTTTATTATTAATTTTGATATTTCATTTATGGAAAAATGTCGTAACTGAGATTAATATAAAAAATAAGATCATATAAATTTCATAAGATGATACTGATACTTGTAGGTACCCTTCTCAGTTGAAATTGAAAAATCAAATTAACTTCTCCACACGTGTTTCGCAAAAAGTAAAGGCCTTAACAGCGGAGAACAATGCTTAACTCAAATAACGCAACTTAATTATATTCTGGTTGGTCTTCCGTATTTTATAATTACAGCTCGATTATAAGCACAAAATTACATTTCTTAATTACTGGGGATCTTCTGATTAGTCAAAATGATACAATTTACAACGCTAAAAAAAAGATCTATCTCATAAGGACACTTATGAAAGCTGATCGACTTTTAACTAATTTTATAATATTTTAACAACTTAAATGTAAAATCTATTATAATTAATGAAATAACAAATAATTGTATTAAAAATTCATTTTTCATCGGAAAAATTTTTTTTGCTTTCAGAAAATATTGTCCATATTCATAAAAACTACTAAAAGCAAATAAAAGCATTTGAAATTAAATAATATATTTGTTTTATTGAGTTTTGTATGTTACAATTCACAGCTGATTTTCAGGTACTGCGTATCCAATTAAAAACAAAAAAAAACATGATTTGCATTCCTCAAAGCCCTGTGCTTTTTAATTATTGTAATCACTAAAACCTATGCGATCGAATTTCTAGCGTTTTCATAAAATTAGTTATGGGGGAAATAAATATTTTTAAAAATATTTCTCCCATGACTTTCATAAAAAAAAACATATTTATAATAATTTCGATCATCTGTGAATAGTTCCTGAAAGTTTCATTAACATCCGATAATTATTTCTATTTTTGCACGATTTTTCAAATTAATGTGTGTCATACCAAAAAAAACGTGCTAAAAATTGTCTGTTATTTACTAGTTCCGCTGATACAAATAGAAACAAGGTTTTTTAATCAAAATTTAGAATGTTCTAAAAAGAAGGAAAATTTTAAAAAAATAATTAAAAAAAACTTTGGTCTTTCCTCTTAATAACATAAGCATTTAGACAATAAAATTTTGTTTTCGGCAAGGTTGGCGTCTTTTTCATCAAGCTATGCTCTTTTTTTAGCGATTTCGTGGAGGTACCTATTCTAAGTGTAGAAAGCCTTCCTCAGAAATATGCCTTTCAAATCAACCTGCTTCAGAGTTGAGATATTTCTAAATGTATCAAATGTTGGTGTTCAAACCACAATAAAAGGATTTGCAATGATGATTTTCAAGGTAGGTAAATACTTTGGAAGAATAATGTCACATGGTTTTCCTATCTTTTCTATCAACCTTTGTATCAGATCAAATCTTCATTGTTTTCTTTCTTAAAATAAAACCAGGAAAAAAAATTGTAGAAAAAAAATGTTCTCTATGACTTTCCTGTTCAGTATTTATCTATTTTTTTCTTGTTTTAGATTTCAAGCATGGCTTTATCCACAGTTCAAATTTTACTTGTCTTGAGTTGGATGTTTGTATGTATTGGTAAGTAAAAATTTGAGATAAATATTCCAGAATTGTTTTCATTTCCAGTACATGTGTAGCACCAACTTATTCCAGTTTATGTTCCATTTGGCAATTGTGACATGTAGGTAAAATGTCATGTTTAATGAGTGAAAGAAATTTATTACTTCTTAACTTTACCATCTCATTTCCCTTTGTAGTACAGTTAATTTACTGTCAAGAAATGGTTGTTGTGAATCAAAGAACAAATAAATTTGTTATACAAAAAATTTGAATAACATCATAAAAGAAATCATGGTTCTTGTAGTTTTCTTGTTAACATGGATTTTAGTAAAATGTTTAGTAGTTAACTATCCATGCCACTATTATTCATCAGGTGCTTTCACTTTTTGTTGAAAGTGAAGACTATACAAAAACTTTGATTTTTTTTTTTTTTTTTTTATTTTTTTTTTTAGCTTCAATCTTTGGCAATGTTATTGTAACATTTGTCTAAAATCATTACTGCTATTAATTTTTGAAATAAATAATAAAACTTCATCTTCCTTTGTCTTATTTTTGGGGTTTTTTTTTCTTCTTCTAAAACTTCTAACTTCTATGATTCATATATGGAAAAAATCATGTCTCATTCCAGAAAATAAGTACAAATAAACAGCAAAATAATGTTTGCAATAGGATTGGATAATAGATCTAAAATCTTTTTTTTTTTGAGAGGATGAGAAAAAATATTGAATCAGGAATCTTTAGAACTTAACATCTGACTTAGAGACCCCCCCCCCAACCTATTTTTTTATTTTGTAGCAGTGTGTCTTTAAACTTATGGATTGTTATGAATGTAACTTGTGAAAGGTGGTTTTAGAAGATACAAGAAATGCTTGAAAAATGTTGTGCAAATAAATTTGTCTCCATTTTCATAGCTGAAGTGAAATATCAAGTGATATCACTGAAAAGACTTAAAGCTTAAGAATGAGGCTTACCTTCACATTGTTGGAGCCAGGATGGAATAAAGACATCATCTTGATAGTGTGGAAAGAAAAGAAATTTATATATCAATTAAATGACATTGCTTTCATTTTGACATTCAAATATGATGGATACACTGATCATTCATGCATGTTGAGAACAAAAAGCTTTCCTCCTATGAATGCTTTGTCCTGAAATATAGAAAATGTGATCACAGGTCAATTACAAAACTAAGGCTGCAAAGAGATTCACTTAATGCCATCAATTATTATAAAGCCTGTAAGAAACCTGCCACTTAATTTCATGAAATTTCCAGATATCTAAAGAACCCAGATTCTTCAGGTTATTTAATTTTAAAACAAGACCACAAGTATTGGAACCTCCCAATAATGATCAAATTCACTACACAGATAAAATTATCTGCAAGAACAACTTGCTAAACATTAATCTTCAACAAGCTGCCCAAATTCTGTAGAATAACCTTATCTTTTTTTTTCTAATTTGAACAATTAAATGGATGTTAAGGTTTAATTACATTTCAATAATGATAATATTTTCTTTTTTTTGGGTTTTCTGGCTTCAATATTTCCAGCAGTCAGCTCTTTATATTAAAGTAACCCTGCTTTATTTGAAAATACAACATAACATAACAGTCATCAACTCATAAAAGAGAATTAACAGGATCAAATTCTGGGTGAAATTGTTCATATATTTTTTTATATTAATACCCTTTTTAATATTAATGCTGTTTCTGTACTCTGTCCCATTGCCAGTCATGTCACTGTTAAACTTGTAGAAAAAGAAAACCCTGGGAAAATAAGAACTTGTGAAATGCATCCCAACCAATATCTGTATCTACCGAGGAAAACATTTGCTACCTCTAATGCTATCTGAAAGCCATTGATAACACCATTATATCATGGGATAAAGTTACTGAAATGCAGCTTTGAATGGTTGCTAATCTATATATCTTACAGATCTTTTTGCTTGGGATAGTTGGCCAAACAATATTATATTAACTAATGAATTAAAAAAGTAAAAAATCAAATTAAATTCTACTACTTCATAAAAATAGCATATGTCTAGACCTAACAAGAAACAACACTTGCTTGGCAAGGAATATGAATTCCTGCCAGTTTGAAAAATCACTGGCAAACCTTTGGTAAAAGATGAAGGGGAATTAAATATTACAAACCCTTGTTCTTAAAAATAATAAAATACAATGTCACTGGACATATCTCTACTCAGAGTATGTCTCTTGGGTCCTGGATAACTGTAAATCTTTCCACTGGTAAGCTCAACATTTCATGTGCTGATTTTTAAAGCACCCTGTCTCTCTCCACCGTGAAGTTTAGTGCAATACACTATTTCTACACACTTCTTATTTGACCCCATACCACATTAAACCAAGTTCCATCAAGATCTTGGCATGTCAGGCTAAAGAATAATAGTTTGTAAGCTTACTCTGAAGTTAATTACTACTGTGTTTTTAATTTTATCTAACATTTAATGCCTTGTGCTAGACTCAGCTTAGTAAATATTCATCCCATTGGTTTTATCATAAATGTATTATCTACTTTATTAATGACTTCATTTTCCAATTTACATTTGGGCTTTTGTCCTTATCTTTCTTATTATCACAACATTTTGGATGTTGTACTTTCCGGCCTTCTTAAAGTGCTTGCTAATCCAAGTAACCTATATGTAAATTTGAACTCAACTCTTCATTTCATTGGCAGGAGAGGATTTTTTTTTTCATTCTGTTCAGTTATTGCTTACACTGTTTCTATTGAGTCTAAGTTTGCATTACCCAGTCCAGAATTGAAGTCACAATTATTGTGTCACTAACTTCAAACTTTAATCCATTAGGCTATGAGGACAATAGCAATAATCTAAATAATAATTCCTTATCCTAGAAATTAAGAGAGAAATTCATTTTCCAAATTCATGTTTTTTTGTTTTTTGCCATTTTTTTTTTTCCAAAATCTTTTAAAGATGTTCTTTTTAATACAAGTTCATTGTTTGGATAAAATGTAGTGCAGTTGTCTTGTAAGTACTTACTGAGTGTAGTATGGCACAAGGTCATTGTTGTGGAGTAAATAACACACCCATGGTGACACAAATGAACTAGGCAAGACACCTTAAATAAAGAACTCCAAATGAGTCAAGGTAGTCCATTGGAGTCAGTCAAGAATTCTAATAGATGTCATGGCAAGTAGCCTAAGCAAGACATAATATTATAACAGCTAAGAGTAAGTTATGACAGTGGTGACATGTGATCGAAACTCATATGGAAAAAAATACTTTTTGCTTTGGCACACTTGATAACAATGATGACAAGAAATTAGAAAGTGTCAAAAGGTGTTTGAAGAAATCAAGAAAATACTAACATCAGACTTATCATTAGCAAACTACAATCCAAAAGCAGAAATCATATTGGTTTCAGATGCTAGTGACTATGATATAGGAGCAGTAATTTGACATAAATATGGTGACAATAATATGTCACATGTGCTTTACATTTGCTGCTATCAGCAGGAAAAAACTACAGCCAGATCACAAAAGAGGTGTCCGCAATACTATTTGCAGTAAAAAAAAACTTCACAAATTTATACATGGAAGGAGTTTTTGTTTGCACACAGGCTATTGACCTCTATTATCAAATTTTTTATGGTTCAAAAAAAAGAATTCCTACACATATAGCAAACAGAATACAATGCTGGAATATCATATTAAATTATGATTTCAAAATGGAATACCAACCGTCCAAAAAATTAGAACATGCTGATGGTTTATCAAGATTGATATAAAAAAATACTGGACTGTTTGAGGACAATGTTATTGCAGCATTAAAAAGTGAAATAAAAATTAAAAATATATTATGCAATGTAGGATGCAAACTACCAGTTACTCTGGAAGAAATAAAAGTAAAAGCAGAATAAGACATGTTTATTTCGAAAATAAAAAAATTGACTAAAAAAAAGTAAGAAAGATTTTTCGAATGCAATCGAGACTTGGATGCTTACTCGCTATGTGACAGATTACTGAGGTTTGCACAAAGAGTAGTAATACTTAGCATATTACAAAAGTGGATATGAAATGAATTTCATAGTGGACATCTGGGAATTTCAAGGCAAGAACTTGGCAAGATGCCTTAAATAAAGAACTCTTAGTAAGTCAGTGTAGATCTGTTGGAGTCAGTCATTTCACAAATTTATACATGGAAGGAGTTTTTGTTTGCACACAGGCTATCGACCTCTATTATCAATTTTTTTATGGTTAAAAAAAGGAATTCCTACACATATAGCAAATAGATTACAATGCTGGTATATCATATTATTAAATTACGATTTCAGGATGGAATACCAACCGTCCAAAAAATTAGAATATGCTAATGGCTTACCAACAGATATCACGGCGAGTAGTCTCAAGACATATTAAAACCACTAGAATAAATTATAACAGTCACATTTGTGAGGCACCCAGTTAGGAATGAACCCACTGCAATTACTATGGTCTTTGAGGCTAGCTGGCTAGCCACTTTTCCACATTAAGTGACTTCTGTTTTTAATTTTGCATTTTTTCATCATATTATCAAGATAAAGAACTCAACAGTATAAAGTTGTTGAAATTTTCTTCACTAAAAGGTTTTCATTAGCTTTACTTTCATCTTATTTTGTTGTTTTTACTGTAAAGATCAAGGGATTTTGTTTTAGTGATCATAACAAAGTTTCATCTGAGAATTTAAAACTTAAATCTCTTATGCCTATTACCATGACAAGGTGTAAACAAAACAGTAGGACATTGAGTAAAAATCAGATTATGAAGAATATAGTTGCTGGATAGATGTCATAACATAAGTGATAAGGTACTATCCTGGTCAGAATAAGGATGAGGGGGTTAAGTTACAATCTTTTCAGTAAGGAAAAAGATAAAAATACTGATTATTTAGTCATTAAATATATGGTGTATACATATATAATTTTGTATTAATTTATATATCAACAAACAGTATTTAGAAAAATAGTATGACAAATTGGCAAGTTTTTGTGATGTGCTTC